ATATAAGATATAAAATTATATCTGATAATTTTGATATGATGAAATATTCATGGTACTTATAGTATAGTATAAACGGTACTTAGTTGTGTGGGGTTTTTTTTTTATAGATATACACACATGCACATACCCGCATATAATAATATATAATATTGAGAGGCAGGCTGGGCGAAAATATTCAATAAGGCACAAAAATTGAATTATATGCTTATATATATTTGGGTGATTAATCTTATCATAAGTAATTAAAGGAAGAAGATATTGCATAAATTGTAGATAATGTGACATATGTACATTGAACTGGAGATATATACATACATATTTATTAATCATATAGGCGTATAAACTTATATATTAATTATATACAGTCCTTTATAGAGGTTCTGTTCACACAATACACAAATTGTTTAGTTGGAAAACTACTAAATAAATGCATTAACATAATTACATTAAGTTAGAGAGACACAATGAATGTATACGTAGAAAAGTTAGCTGCTGGAGCCACGACCTGATGCCAGTGTTCTTGGTCCATCACGCTGTGGAGGAGGGTCAGGGTAGGAAGATAACTCCTCTAACGATGTCACCTGGTGTTTGTCACCGCTGGTGCTGCGGATGACAATCCTGCCATCCTGAGTCCAGGCTCCAGATATGAGACCACGTCTCTTGAGGAAACGGGCCTTAGTGAGCACGACAGACCTGGCTTTGGTTAAGGCTTCATTGATGAAAAGTTTGGATGCAGGGTGAGACTTCTCTGGTGTAGATGATGATGGGCCACTAGGTTTGGGGAAGAGTGATAAACGTGCGTCATACACACTTGCCCTGGTCCTGTACGACAGGAAACGCACTATAATGTCCCTCGGATAAGATTTATTGGCAGGGCCTACACGGTGTGATCGACTTATGTCTGATTCAGTTATCATTATTCCGAGAGTGTCATTACAGGTATCTATGATGAGTTTGTCAGTATCCTCATGTTGGGACTCTGGGATACCCCTAAACTTAAGGCAGTTTCGGCGTGAGTACTGTTCCATATCATCTAATCGATGTTCTAGAAACTTAATTTGCTGGTGAAGGGCAGTAATACCAAGACTTGCAATGAGGGTATCTTTGAACAAAGAGTTCGACATCAATTGGGACACAACTTCCTGTACTATAATTGGGTCCCTTAGCTCACTGATAGCTTGGACTCCCTTTTTAACTTTACTCGAAAGTTCAACAGCTGACATTTTAATATCTGATCACTGCTCAATGCACTGAGACGTGCACGTATATTATATATCTGTATAAATGTATATATCACAACGGCGAGAGAATAACGAACAGGTATATGTAGACAAAGGAAATGGCCGGAGTTGTGGTCAGTGAATACAGTGGACAATATTCAAAAGTCAGATAGTGTCACATCAGCATATAATTATGGCTTAATATTCCTTCTTATGGATCGCATGCTACTTATCTTGGTAAAGAATGATAGTTCAGATCTTTTTGACGGGAGATCCATGGTAATAGAGAAAATTTTGGCCAACGGTCAGCGTACTTGTTTTGGTCACACCGGTGACGTCATCCCATAGGATTTTGTTCGATACTACTCTAAAATATTTTACATATCTATTCATGTTCTGAAGATATTTTATTTGTAGAAATTACATTTTCAGATCAAGCTCGATCGATTTACAATTCACAATTATTTTGCCATTAAGTGTGGGACAATATTTCGTCATAAACTTAGTATGTTGGAAACTGGTTAATACATTATTTTGATATCAGTCGTTCGTTATATGGTTAGAATATTTGAAATGAATAACAAACATTTTAAAATTTTCACATTCAAATTGTTTCCTCTCCTTTTCCGTCAAATGGTAAGTTTATGCAAACATGTATACTTTTTCTTTTTCCTTCAGGGCTGGGGAACCTCCCGATGCCATCTGTCAAAAACACGTATGTGAGTCGACGGAAGTATACATTGCCGCAAAACAGTTGGGTCTTTGTCGTAATATCACAAGATGACTAAGTTGTAATAACGAAATAACAAAGTCGTAATTATGAGATAGTTAAGTCGTCAATACGAGATAACGTAATCGGAATTACGAGAGAGTATGTCGTAAGTACTAGATAGCTATGTCGTAATTACGAGATGTTTAGTCGTAATTACGAGATGCTAAGTCGTAATTACGACTTTAAAAAAATTTAACTCATGAAAAAATTGGCACTAACCGGCTTCCGTAAAAAGGGAATGAAAAACATCAAACAAACTAATATGTAAAAGACAAATGCTAAAAAATCTTGAATGGTTATATCAGAAAAGATTAAAATGGTACGTCATAATCTATGATATAGACCAACATTTTTCAGATAACATAGAATTTTATAAATCTCAACAGTTTTAAAAATGGTCTTTAGATTGGTAACATTACGATAAAATTCTCAAGTAGACAGAAGGTCAATGTCTAATGGTTAAAAGCTCATCACATCCCATGCATCGATGATTATCCTTTCTGCAACATATATGAATGTGTAAGGTATGTATGGCCCATCTGACGACAAGCAAGGACAACTTCATCACGGTGGTTGTCTCCCTAACCTGGAGACCATTCACCTATGAAACGTTTTACGGTTTAAACAGTAAAATGAAGTTTAAAACAGGATGTGGTAGCGATAAAGCTGGCTGTGCGGACTGATTCCAGATTTGGTGGTTTAATGTGTAAACCAACTTAAATCAACTATTTAGTATTCTTGATAGAATATTGATTCAGCAGTTTTTACAACATTTAATTTTTGTGGTTCTGAGGGAAAATGACTGTTGTAGGATGTTGAAATTTCACTTTAGTATGTTATTAGTGTAGGTGACATTCCCGTTGTACTAATAAAACCAAGCGTAAACATTTATATTAGTTCACTTTACAATACTTCAAACCAGAAACACATGTTTCCCCCTTTTGCTCATTTTCCCTTAAAATACAAACCGATGTTGATTTTGATTAATGTTCAAAGTGAAACAACTCCTGTAAAATGGAAAAATTATATTTGTTTTATTGAACAAATAATCATCCATCATCTTTTCATACTAATGTTCTTTATTTAACAGATTAAATATTCAATACACCCCCGCCCTTGACAAAGGTTTCTTCAGATTCTGTATTTTCTGTTAATCATACACAAAATAAACCATTAAATAACTTCTTTTCAGAATCTGTGTTTAATATTATATGTTCACACATTAATCCATCTTGACCACATGTGTTTATTGTTATATGTTAACTCACTTTTCCATTCTATATCTATCCGCAGATCTGTGGTAATGTTCGTTAACACATTAAGCCATTAGATATCTTTCTACAGAATCTATGTTTTAATTATCTTTCTTCTGCATTTATGCTGTTTGCTGCTACGTGTAAATGAGATGATATCACAGATAACTGGTGACATTATCACTATGATAAGAATTACAATTCCTACATAACCTATTCTTGCTGCCGACAAACGATCGTCTTCGGCACACGTCTTTTGACGAATGTATGCAGACAGGGTTATTTTACTCAACGTTAGTCCTTGTTTAATTGTTTCCCCGTCAATTCGTCTTGTTTGGGAATTGTTCCAGTATGGCGTCATACAAACACAGCAATCTGAAATATTTTAATAAATGATATATAACTCAATTTCTAAAGGTGTAAAAGCTCTCAAAACAATCAAACTGTAACAAATTGTTATTCAGCAACTCTATTAAGTTCTGAACTGAACCAGTCAAAACCAACAAGAAAACACCAACTGGAGGGATTTGTCGTATCTTTACTTTACGTTTTTCTAATAATGACTCCAATTGATGTTTTAGGAACTGACAGTGAATATCGTCAGGTCCTGTTTTAGAGTCATGCGATTTTTCAACGATTATCGAAGTTCTGACATTGAGATGTTCCATTGGTTTTAATGATGCTTTACCGCTGATTCGTTTAAAAATATTCCGTAACTTTTTGATGAATGTATTGGCATTTGATATGAACAATAGAGTCAAACAATAAATTGATCGTATTAATACAGCTGTCTCGTCCTTCGAGGAATCCATAATGTTGCTAAGACCTTAAAGTTTGAAGTCTAGACTCAAAGTCTAGGAGGCGACTGAGGAAAAAATCCAAAGTAATAGAAAGAGAAATATAGATGAGATGCATTAGCCCCTTGATAAGCTTTTGTCTCTTTATTTTCATGAATGAAAACACGTTCATGCTTTCTAAACGACATTTGTTTTGTCATTATTCGTCCACTTAAATATCTATTTGATGCAAGTTATTTGGCAGCTTTTCAATAACAATTCCAAACTCTACAATAAAATAACGGTATACTAAGCAATTAGTATTTATGTGCAATTTCCTGTGGGGTTTGTTTATGGAAACATGCACTTATTATCTCCCGGAAACCTCCTAGTTATGAATTATTAATAATGCGTACGATCAAAATTTGAATATTTCTCTAGCTGTGACAGGTTGTGTGTTGTGACGATTGTGTCTAAGTAGGGGTACGTTTTGCTCTTACATTGTGGTAATGGACGGTCTAGTTTTGGTCAGCGTATTGCTCGCCACTGCAGGTAAGAACAAGGCTAAATGAACATAACAAAATATTCAGATTTTGAAAAAAATGTAGTCACTTCAAAACATTCTTTATAATTTGATTGCATTCACAGAATAACTCATGACTACTAAATTAATTGAAATTTTAATCGTTTTTACTTAGTGTAATGTAATTTGCAATGTTATAAGCATCATGTATTATCATGTATGTAAGCGACACACACAATTCGAAATACAGTTTCCGGTTTATTCGCCATGCTGTCTTGTCCAGTTATATTACATGGTGTCAGAACATCGGGCTCATCGCCTGCCGTACGTAAAAATATTTCCGTCTGATAGCATCCAATGTCTAATTGGGACGCCAGTTACATATTTAATGTGGTTATTTGACATTAACGCACATTCTGTTTTGTGAGACACGGAAATCAAAAGTCGGAACTCACGATGTCACATGTTCAATTCGATCAACCATGTTTTGATTGGGACGCGAAGGATTTATATCAGGAATACCAGCGTTTCAAGCAACATGTGGACTTTGTGTTCAAAGGTCCGTTGTCGAAAGCGGATGACAAGGACAAAACCGGATGGATTGGAATGTGGATAGGAAGACAAGGTCGCGAAGTTTACAAAACTTTTGACTGGGCGGAAGGTGAACAAGATAAACCCGAGGTAACTTTGAACAAGTTAGAAGCATATGTCAGGCCACGGAAAAACAAGCGTGTTGCGCGATTCAGACTGAAACAGAGGAAACAAGCGGAAGGTGAGTCGTTTGACAATTTTGTTAAAGACGTTCGCTTGATATTGATGGATTGTGATTATAGAGACCCGGATGACATTCTCATCGACACGATAATAGATGGTGTTTCAAATCGTAAAGTACAGGAGAAAATGTTCGATCAAGGGCAAACTATAACTCTCGATAAAGCTCTAGAAATTGGCAGACAGTTTGAAATGTCTCAGAAACAGCTCAAAATGATTCGTGGTGAGGAACCAGTGAACAGTGTTGGGTTTAAAAACAAACAAAAACACAAGCCTGTACACAGTAAACCTAAAGTGAAAGTAGCGTCAAAATCCGAGTTTGCGGGGAAATCCAAAAAGTTTATCAGTGGTGACAAGTGTACAAGATGTGCGCGTGACGTCACAACCGGACACAAAAATGGTGTATGTCCAGCGATAGGAAGCACCTGTAATTACTGTCGTGGACGTGATCACTGGAAAGTCGCATGTCGCAAGAGACTTAAATCTGAACTCTCTCATGTTAATACACTGCAGAATAGTGCTGAAAATAATGTGACGTCCGACAGCTATGATACAGATACTGATGAACTTTTCCAGATTTATAGCCATCAGTGTACTGATAGCGGTGTAGATGACAAGTGGCTAGTTGACATTAGCATTGGCTGTAAAACGCTAAAATGCAGGATCGACACGGGAGCTAGATGTTGTATTCTGGTGAAATCGGAATATGACCGGATCGGAGTGCACGGAAACGTCAGAAACTCGACGAAAGTACTTAAGTCGTACACGAATCACAAAATACGACCACTCAAAACTGTTACTTTACCAGTGACTTGTAAAGGTAAAGACGTTGAAACAGATTTTGAAATCGTTGATCTAGAACAAGAGAACGTAATTAGCGGTAAAGTCGCCGAGCAACTTGGTCTGATTGAAAGAATCGCAAACGTCAATTGGGAGAAACAGTTTGATGAGTTTCCTGAAATCATTAAAACTACCGGTACGCTGCCTGGGGAGTATACCATTAAGGTCGACCCTGACGTCAAAGGTGTCGTACACCCTGTTAGAAGGCAACCAGCATCCTTGAAACCGCAAATTATCGCAAAACTCAAGGAAATGGAGGAAGATGGGTTTATTAAGCGTGTTGACCACCCAACAGAGTGGGTAAGCTCGATGGTAGTTTCGTTGCGTAAAAACAAAGTTCGCATCTGCATTGACCCGAGCGACCTTAATAAGGCTATCAAACGAGAGCATCATCCCATGAAAACGATGGATGACGCTTTAGCTAATATTCCTAATGCCACAGTGTTCTCCGTGCTGGATGCAAAATCCGGATTCTTACAGATCAAACTTGAGGAAAAATCTTCATACCTGACAACATTTAATACACCTATAGGAAGGTTCAGGTGGTTACGCTTACCGTTTGGATTAAAGTGTAGTCCAGAAATATTCCAACGTATCATGGACGAAATGTTGGAAGGCATCGAGGGTGCCATCGCAGTCATGGATGATATTCTAGTCGCCGGAACTGACATTCAACATCATGACCGCATATTACGTGAAGTAGTTGAACGCGCTTCAAGCTACAATCTCAAGCTAAACTTTGACAAGTGTCGTGTGCGCAAAACGCGTGTGTCATACGTTGGTCACATACTGACTGACAAAGGTGTCGAAGCCGACCCCGAGAAGGTGAGAGCGATTACGGATATGCCGGCTCCCTGTGACAAGGAAGGAGTCAGGAGATTCCTAGGTCTAGTGCAGTATTTAGCTAAGTTCTTACCAAATCTAAGTCAAGTCGACGCACCGTTGCGCATACTGTTGAAATCGAACATTGAATTCACGTGGGGTCCGGAGCAAGAACGCAGCTTCAAAGCTCTTAAACATTTGTGCACATCGTCACCAGTTCTCGCATTTTATGACGTGAACAAACCAGTTCAAATACAGTGTGATGCGTCGAAAGACGGACTAGGTGCAATCTTGATACAGAATGGTCAAGCCATCGCATTCTCGTCCCGTTCACTTACGGACACTGAGCAACGTTATGCTCAAATAGAGAAAGAACTTCTATCGATAGTCCATGCTGCCACAAAATTCCACTGCTACATATTTGGGAAAACGGTAACCGTGTACAATGACCACAAACCGTTGGAACAGATATTCCGAAAACCTCTATTATCTGCCCCGATGAGGTTACAACGCATGTTAATGAGACTCCAATGGTACGATTTGGACGTGAAGTACATGCCCGGGAAGGACCTAATAGTCGCTGACGCTCTCTCCCGAGCATATCTGCCTGATAACAAGACAGAAATCAACCTGAAAGGTGTTAGTTCTTTGGACTTTGTGTCAGTTAGCAAGGACAAATACGTGGAAATTGTACAGTGCACAAAGGCGGAACTACAACCCCTACATGAAATTATTGTTGACGGATGGCCCGACTCGCGAACAGAGACTCCTACTGCTGTCAAACCGTATTGGGATTCGCGTGATCAACTGTCAATATCTGATGGAATTATCTTCAAAGGAATGAGGATTGTTATTCCACCTAGTTTGCGTTCGTACATGCTCGATCTAATTCACGAATCGCATCTTGGGATCGTTAAGTGCAAACAGCGTGCAAGAGAAGTCATGTACTGGCCGGGTATGAGTGCTGAAATCGAGGTGATGATTCAGAACTGTGGAAAGTGTGCTGAGATTCAAAATAAACAACCCGCAGAACCTCTGAAACCGTCCGTTACGCCTGATCTACCATACAGTGAAGTTGGGAGTGATTTATTCCACTTTGAAGGAAAGAACTATATCATTCTAGTGGATTATTATTCAAAGTACGTCGACGTCGAGGAATTACCCGACGCGACTGCCTCTGCTACAATTCGTGCTATGAAACGAGTGTTTGCGTGCCACGGTATCCCGAAATTACTTCGTTCAGACAACGGCCCAAACTTCACATCAGCTGACTTCAAAACATTCTGTGCTGACTATGGAATCGAACACATAACATCCAGTCCCCATTTTCAGAGTTCAAATGGTGAGGCTGAACGTGCTATACAGACAGTGAAGCGCATCTGGCGTAAAGCTGATGATCGTTATCTAGCGCTTCTGGACTATAGAACCACACCACTTAATGGAATAAATCTATCACCGTCACAGATACTCATGAGCAGGAGACCGAGAAATAAATTACCTGCTAAACGCGAGATCCTTGAACCGTCTATGAACAATCGCCGCGAAATAAAACGTCACTTCACGGAAGCGAAACAAAAGCAAAAACTTTATTATAATTTGCACAACAAAGTCAAAGAGTTGTCTCCCTTGGTAAAACAAGAACCAGTGCGAATGGCTCCGTTACCTGGAACAAAACTATGGAAGCCTGCAACTGTTATAGAACATTCTGTGCGTCCGAGATCATACATAGTGAAATCTAATGATCAACTGTACCGTAGAAATCGTAAACACTTGAGACGGTCTACCGATCATGCAAATGAGTCGCTACGATACAACATTACCGAGGAAAGTGATCATGACTTTATGAACTTGGACACTTCCACTCAAAGCAAACAATCAAACTTGCCACCCTCCGAACTGACTGTCGCTTCGCCGCAAAAACATTCTGTTATACCTAAAAGCGAACCGAGTGTAGTCGATATACCTGTCACGAGGTCAGGAAGAAGGATCAAACCGCCTGTGAAATTGGACTTGTGATGTGTTAACAATTCCCTGTGGAATTAACCATTCTATGGACTGTTAAAGTTTCTATTGTGAAATTTATTTTGTATCCAGTTACAGCGCGAGGACAGTGCTAATGATAATTTTGAAAGTGTTGTTTCTTTCTGTTCGTATTAATTCTAATAACAAGACTGTACTAAAGAAGGACTGAGAAAAAAAAAAAAAAAAAGAAACTTCAAAGTTTTTATTTCAAGTTTCAGCAACAATATCCTTTAAATCTTCTTTGATTAAGCAAAGGGAGATGTAATGTAATTTGCAATGTTATAAGCATCATGTATTATCATGTATGTAAGCGACACACACAATTCGAAATACAGTTTCCGGTTTATTCGCCATGCTGTCTTGTCCAGTTATATTACAGCTGGTAATTGGGAAAGTGTATAAGAGTGTTTTCTTTGCTTGGGCCTAACCAGAGTTCAGAAATAGCAATGACTTCAAAATGCAAATAATTTACTAGTACACTTTCGATCTGGCTCCGAGAGTAAACTTCTAGCATATGGCATATGGAGATATTACCTGAAATAGGACCAGGGGTAGGATGGATAGAGCAAGAGAAATATAATTGTATAGATGATACAGACAGGTTTAACATGATAGGCTGGACGTTTTGGAACAGAACACTTATATTAAAGAACCTTGGAACTGAGGTAAGTATTTTGATTACTAGAACATTTGCATAGGAAATAAAAAGTATGTACATTCCAAATGCCTGTAGTATAATGATATAATGGCAAATATCGTTAATGTAATATTATGGGATAGCAGAGAGTGAAATGTAATGGGGAGGGGGTGAAATTGAGAGAGAGAGAGAGAGAGAGAGAGAGAGAGAGAGAGAGAGAGAGAGAGAGAGAGAGAGAGAGAGAGAGAGAGGAGGGGGAGGGGGAGGGGAGGGGAGGGGGATTACCGCACAAACGAAAAATAGAAAAGATAATACTGTATTCTGAATCGGATACAAAAATTCATAGCGTTAATAATGGAGCTTTTACCAGACAAAATCAACTCCTAATTGCATCACATTCGGAACTGAAATCTCCAAGGCATCAGGTTGAATGTAGATAACTGCTTAACATACAACTCATAATGTAGATTACTAATAGGTATACTTGTCAGATGCATCCATGTACGTTACTATTAGACATACCAAGGCATCAATGTAGATTACCACTAGACATAAATGTCAAAGATATCAATGTAGATTACCACTAGACATAAATGTCAAAGGTATCAATGTAGATTACCACTAGACATAAATGTCAAAGGTATCAATGTAGATTACCACTAGACATAAATGTCAAAGATATCAATGTAGATTACCACTAGACATAAATGTCAAAGGCATCAATGTAGATTACCACTAGACATAAATGTCAAAGGTATCAATGTAGATTACCACTAGACATAAATGTCAAAGATATCAATGTAGATTACCACTAGACATAAATGTCAAAGATATCAATGTAGATTACCACTAGACATAAATGTCAAAGGCATCAATGTAGATTACCACTAGACATAAATGTCAAAGGCATCAATGTAGATTACCACTAGACATAAATGTCAAAGGCATCAATGTAGATTACCACTAGACATAAATGTCAAAGGCATCAATGTAGATTACCACTAGACATAAATGTCAAAGGTATCAATGTAGATTACCAAGACGTTACATGTCAGGGCATCACTATATATTACTGATAGACATACATCTCAACAGCATCCATGTAGGTTACTACTATATATACAGTTTTACCTCGAATGTCGGAGGCAAAAATTTCAGTGTTCCATGCCCACGCATTGCTTACGGTAGGGTGATCACGTGCAGTCCTTAGTAGGTTTTCATTTGTAAAAGTAAACATTTGGTAAGTTTCATTTGTATTATTATCATATACTATGAGAACGCGGGTCAAAAAGTAATATAAACTGGAAGATAGGTCAGAATATATTTGACCCACGTAACTTCACTTGGTTCAAGATCCGAGGTGTGTGGTTCGACGCACACTACCAATGGCGGTTTGTGTTTCTTATGAAGCGGACAGGTATGTGCTCACGTAGTTGTGTTCATTGATATAACTAACTTAATGGTTCTAGGTGATATGTAAAGGACCTCCCGTATGTTGTTCAGTAAAGTAACTGTCCGCCATTTAAGGCGATCCCGCATCAAAATGACCTTGGTTGTTCATCGGGTGATGAACCCATCAAACAAATAACAAAGTAACACAAACCGGCTTTATAGCATATTGCTTAAGCGTAAAAATGAAGTAAACTATTTGGAAAAAGTGGTCTAACAGGCTTAAAATATTGTAGATCATATTTGCAATGCTTATCTTGTTATTGTTATAGAATAAGATTACCGTGAATCATTTAAATTTCATGCTTTATTTCGCGAACTTACACCTGCCTCTTTATTCGCGAATACATGATTTCGCTCACGCTGGTCTGGAAATGACCAGAAAGATGAGCTATCAGAGGTATTGGCTCTGGGAAGCTCTTTATCGACAACTGATAGCGTCATATTGGCCACCATTTTGTTCATGAGAGTTATGTGACTATACCGTCAATATAATTCGCGACTTGTTCTCTTCGCGTATTAACGCGACAATAAACGCAAAATATAAATGATTTACAGTAGATTATTCGAAGAGATAAACGCGACTTTTGTTAATAAAAGATGAATAGGGAACCTTTACATAGTTAAGTTATCCTCTTTCAAAACATGTTTGTTATTTTGATTCTGTCTAATACTGCATTTGAAATATCACTTACATGTAAATCTCATTGGATAATCCGCTTTTAAAATGTATTGACACATTCGAAAATAATATAAAAACGGGATCATACACTGTCACGCACAATGTTCATGTACTAGATAAAAGTTAGAACTTGATATATCTACCTTGGTATACTAAACAAACTGTGGATACTGCTAAAGATACACCGGCAACTGTATGGAATATCACACAAGGGTTTCTCCTTCCAAATCTAAAAAAAGAAAAAAAATTGGATTACATTATAATGTACAATGAATATCATATTAACTTTCTCGAATTATGGTGAACTTTAAGTCCCTGAGGTTTGTCGTTACCCGCATGCTACGTTTAAATTCATTCGAAAAGTAGATCGGTTTATAATATAAAATGTCCTTGACGCTGTTCTAAAATTATTTGACATATGAATTTACGAAATTTATTCATGGGGGTGCTGATGTATCTCCAGAAAAGTTAAAAATTAAAATATACAAAGGCACATATAACCTATCATACATCAATGTGTATATATATATATATATACCATGCTAAACTTCATCACATTTTAAAACAAATTACGTTAGACTCGCAATAAAACACAGTAAAAAAAGTCATGTAAAAAAAAAAAAAAAAAAAAATATATATTTTGAAATTTCCAAAAATAATTAATTTTATGAATATCAAGAATTGGTTTATTTTCAGGATACAAATTTTTACAGAAATGCAATGTAACACCTTAATAGGAGTGACTCATTCACCTTTTAATGAAATACCATTGAGTGGCGGCAGCTGGGTACTCCACAAGCCCCATCAGGAAGAAGTTGACGAAGCGATCCCCAGAGAGAGACATTGAACTCAGATATAACGCATAATACACAAGACTGTCCGTTGTCCTAAAAAAGATAGTTGTGCACTGCGGATTGAATATCACTTCATATTTTGTTTTAAACCCTAAAACCAGCAGGGATCATCTAAGAACCATTCAGAACTTACTTTAATTTATCTTCAATTTATCAGATATACATAGAAATGACAAAACTGATTGAATAAAAGGGCTTTTGCACCTCCCCACTTAAATTTTCAATTTGTTTCATTCAATTTTGAATTTCCTCGTGACGTTACCTCATCGGTTTCACAATTATGCCTTTATCGTCACTAACGAGTTCTATTGCGACGAAACAGCTGTCTGATACAGTTTATATTTCTAAATTAGTACAGAAATATACTATTCAATTATTTCGTACGTGTATGATGTTTGGGAAATATTCACGAATACTTTTCAAATGAATGGGTTATAGAATGACTTATTTCCTTCAGTTAAACTATAGAATATAGTTACAGTTGTTACAGATATCCATCATATACTTTTGGGTACAAATGTAACGTACTTTTACAAAGTATTGATAATTGTTTTGTGATTTTGATAAAGGAACAATATAAACTTAAATTGTCAGTTTTCCATACGCACTAACAAATAATAAATGATAAGACTCAGGTCTTGGTCTTGAGATCAGAAAAAAAAAAACGTCTCTCGAATCTAATTTTGACATTGATTCCGATTCAAGCTAAACTTGAGTTACTTAATCAGCGAACCAGCATTAATATTTTGCATGATTTTCACACATAGTGTTTAAGAATTCTCACCATGTATACCAAATAATGAGAGAGTTGAGTAGAATCCTCTTGTGTTTGAATATAGTAAATGCATTGTATTTCTCCGGTTTTGTGGGTTTTAAATCGTCTTTAGAATTGTTTTGCATGCATGCCTCCGACGTCGGCGTTGTTACTGTAGGTGTGATATTGTTTGACAGAAACGTCTCCATTTCTTTCGCCTTGGTGGAAGCCGCTTTAATCACAGAATTAAAGTCTTTTCCGTTCATTCGAGCAGCCATCCTGATAATCTTCTCAGCTTGGTCTTTCTTGTTGTTTGCAAGAAGCCATCTAAGCGATTCTTCAAGAAACCTATTTATAAGTAGATGCAGTTTCTAAATGATCGCATTGATAAAAAAAATCTAATTCAAAATAATTTATTCTAATATTGTTAAGAAAGATAACAATATCGGGATGTCAAATACAATACAATACAATATACCAGTTCTACAATGTATTTAAATAAGAAGTTGTTTAATAACAAAAAAAAAAAAAAAACCAATGAATCTCGTCTTCAAAGAAAACATTTCTTGACACGCCACGGTGCAATAGGTATTAAAGACAGATGTAAACATACCAATATTCAAGAAGGCTGTAAGCAGATCCAACGGCAAACGCAATTTGCATAGAGCGCCATGACATATTCCGGAAGGCGTAAGCAATAGGTGTGACAAGGAGGCATCCTGTGGTCCAAAATAATAAATCAGCAGTATCCCACAAGTATCTGGAATTCACTGGTAGAGTCTCCATTGCCGCGACAGCAACTGTTAAACCAGTACCCTAGAACAACAGGCATGATAAACTATTGAACAAAATGCAATTGCATGAGTTTATCATGAAGAATGCTAATAGACACCTAGCATTTAGGAAATAATCTATCATTGCGAAATGGAAATCGCAGTATTTGCTTACAAAAGTTACTGCTTTATTTTGTATCGGTAAGATACTTGACTTTTGTTACACTAACGTTTATTTTCATGTCTTTAAACGTCCGTCTGGGCAGAAATATCATCCAAGGAAAGAAATCAGACAACAAAGTAAAGTCAGGCAAAAACAAAGTTGTTAGAAAGAATATAAAGAAGATTCATCATCTTTACAAATTCAAAAACATATATAATCAAACCTTGCTATCTCGAACTCGTTTAACTCGAAGATCCAATATTATTTTTAACTTTTCGTCAGTCCCTGCCTTACTTTGCACAAAATATTCGAAATCATTTAAATCGGTTATCTCGAAGTTTTTCCATAGTCCCGACTAGTTCGAGGTACCGAGGTCCGACTGCAGATACATTTTTAATAGTATGGCATTTATAAAATTGAGCAATTTGTCAAAATTACCGCCTGGAAAACTCCTAATAAAAACCGCAAGGCCGTAAAGACAGCAGGACTTGGAGACCATGCAGTACACAATGACACTGTAAACATGGCAATATGACAAAGTATATGAACAGGTTTCCGTCCGTACATGTCTGCCAAGGTGGTGAATATCACTGCTCCTATTCCTTGCCCAAGAATCACTAAAGATTGGGCTAGCTCTGCTTTCTCTCCTCCATCGCAAAACAAATTCCACTTTAAAGAAAAAAAACAACAAACAATTATTTATAACGTTACTTCATTGTGACTTATCCATGTCACTTGGATACTTTAAGTCATATTACCGTGTGATGAGTGAAAGAAATAATCATTGCGACAGGTTATGTTATTTTTCAAAACTTACGTAACGTTTTGTAAAATATGGTTAATATCTGTGAAGATTTAACTTGACATATAGTCAAGCTTGTCCAGAGAATGAAAATTTCCCTTTAGTCATGCATGTGGTACGGTAATAGTGTAGAGATCAGGAAGATCAGACGTTAAAAAAATCTAGAAGGTTGTTTGGTAGAATGTTTCACTTTTGGTGTAATCGGTTAAATAAAAAGAACATGGTTTTTAAACAGATAACATTAAGAATGATAGATAGCAAACGAAGTTACAGGTTTGGTGGAATAAGATGTGCCATTGTTAAATAGATATTTCGTTTTTTGAGAATCTAATATCATGTAAGAAGGGCTTTCTAGAATAATTAATTGTCACTTCTACAGAAACAATACCAGTTGAACAACATATTGTGTATATAGATTTGAATGGAAAGTAATCATTACAAGTAGGAAAGAATTTCAACAGTATCTCAAGGGCTGGTTAAATGTTCAGACAATTAGATATTGTAAAGTTTACATAAGTCTATGTATAAAGATAGCGTTCTAAAATTACTGATGGTGCGTTGTTATTGCTCCACATGAGCTTCCATAAGTACTTTCGGTATTTTTCAATTCAAATGTAACGAAAGAAGTTTTAATTTAGTTTGTTTCATTTTGCATCCCATAAACCAAATGTTATATCCTGTAAAAGACATTCTACATAACTTACTTCCGTTACTATGGAAACATCATCCGGCTCGTCATACGTGTATCCCGATACACAGTCGGTACTTGTTATGAGTGTGGAGTTGAAATCCGTATCATTGCTAAACACATCTATAGTACATTTGTTGTAAACGAATCGATATGTAGAGTTGTTTTGATCTTCATGAGGAAATATGTCGCTGGCTGTTGTCACATTGCACTCGAATGGAGGACGATAGGCTTTAAAATGTAATAATAAAATAACAATACATTAATTGATGTAAACATACGCATAAAATCAGCATATTCGGAATGGAAAAAAGTATAGAAGTGTGTTAGGAAATCAGCCTTACTAGCAGCCACAGGAAACAATTTCTTATAGAGATGTTAGTTGTCTCTCAGCGGTACAGTATATTTGTTATTTCTGTTGTGTGTCACTCTCATTCGCGCAACTCATTACATATATATATATATATATATATAAACCGCAGTCGCTACCAGAGGAAATCAATGGTTTTACACTATCAGGTCAAATCATGCATGTTAGTATTATCTATATATAAGAAATGACCTGAAGATGATTCTAAAATGTAAAATAAAGAATGAGAAAAAAATCTTGACATTTCAAAATATGTTGTTTTCATTAGAAGAGAAAAAAAGTCCTTACTTAAAAACACTATTGAAATGATGTGCAACGCTTCAGGTATAACAGAAAATAGGCACAGGAATATCTGTCCTCTCTGGTATCTACCCCATGTTCCCAGGAATTTCCAAATCTCATCAACGTCAAGTGGACCGTCCATTGCTTTAATATAATTCGCCGTACAAAACGTCTTTTACAGTGATGATACGAAGATGAATGGTGATTCTAGTGTGATCACGTGATTTTCTGAGTATGATATTGAATAAATCAATAAAGATTTAAATTAAGTTAATATGTAATACTGATACAATATTACCGCGATATAGATATTTTTTATCAGGGCGGTACGTGCGGTTACATAAGATTTTAGTCATTTGTATGTCTCATGTTTAAGTGTTGCTCTCCCTATTCCCATTTGAAAACGTGACATTGACGTCCATGTCTTCTTCTTGTACTTTTTCCGTCTCTATATAAGGCTTTTCTCATTATGGCATTTAAATTATGATTACAAATATTTTTTTATGTCTAGCTGAACAAAATGTTGAATAATTTAATTAAGTTATATATTAACTTTTAAACGACAAGCTTATCATGCCATGTTACAACTTGTTTCTTGGTAAGGCCTTTTCTACCTGTTTCGTTGAAGGCCTTTTCCACCTGTTTTGATGAAATCATTTTCAATTGTTTTGATTAAGGTATTTTCTGTCTGTTTTTCTGGAGAGCATTTCTACTTATGTTACAACTTGTTTCTTGGTAAGGCCTTTTCTACCTGTTTCGATGAAGGCCTTTTCCACCTGTTTTGATGAAATCATTTTCAATTGTTTTGATTAAGGTATTTTCTGTCTGTTTTTCTGGAGAGCATTTCTACTTATGTATTCGCTTTGATGAGGGTCTTTCCAACCTGTTTTGATGGAGGCATTTCAGTACCAGTCAAAAGATGATCACGTTATTTTATAGATATGGTATTGAATAAATTGACGAAGATTTAAATTAAGTTAATATGTAATACTGATACAATAATACTGCGATATAGATATTTCTTATCAGGGCGGTACGTGCGGTTACATTAGAAATAACAAAAAGTGTACTATCACGGGACGTTGTCTCTAATGTAACATTTAAACTGTATAACATATCAATACGGACTAGATTTTAGTTATTTGTTCTCCGTGGTTTAATAATGTCTTTTTCTACCGGTTTTGATAATTTTTTGGTCAAAGCCCTTCAGATATGTAGGACAATTTACCACTATGAGTTGTGCAACAGTTTATCCTCCTTCTAAACTTCTCTTGAATTCTCAATTAAAATTTGATCGTTCTTCGGATATCATATTCACGACTTACTTGCAGTATAAATTGCAACAATGTACATGTATCGCTGTTCACCCAAGAAAGAAATGTATGATAGCGTATTTAGTATAAAATGCATTTGATATCAAAACTTTAATGAAAGGATGATAAAAACAAAACCTTTCTTATACTTCATCTTTGTGTGTTTACACATATTTTACTTTAAAACTGGCATTGTCTATATATCATGGTTAAAAAAACATGTCATTTGACAATAATTCTGGGGTCGGTTTTAACATTCAGAATTATACATACATTTCTTTTTATATTGAAGAAAATGTCTCTAAGTATCTACACGAAAATTGCATACTAAGAGAAAACATAAATGTTAATATCTGAGTAATATTCTCCTCAAGAAGAAACATTCTTCATTTAAGTGTTTTATTTATTTATTTTTTTTTATTATTTTGTTTTTCAAGATTTTACAAAGGTATGCAACACACGATATATACTAGACTCACATACACATACACACCCTGGCACACATCACACTACACCCATGTACACTCACTCAAAACATGCACTCATTATTTCCTACTCTTTCCTCTTTGCTGGCATGACATACAATGTACTACTGTGTTTCATTCACAAGCCCCAATAAGAATACAAACTCAATGACTGCTATCATCATCATCATCATCATCATCATCATCATCATCATCATCATCATCATCATCACATAGTTATCATCATGATCATCGTATCATCATCACTTCATTATCATGATCATCACCATATCATCATTATCATCATCATCATCATCATCATCATCACTATCATATCATCATCAGCAGTAACACATATTCAGCATCGTAATCATCATATCATCATCACCACTTCATCATCAACCTTTCATCCTCATTATCGCATCATACACTCATCAACAACAGAGCTGTTTATTATTATTAATGTTTTGCCTCATCATCATCTATTCACACCTAATCCCCAAACTTTATTCAAAATTATATGTTTTCAATAGTGTAATCCCAAACCAGAAGTGCAAGCATGGATTGGGAGAAGCGAGATACGCCCCACATAACAGCCTTTCCATGTTGCAACTTCTGCTTGTTTGAAACAAAGTGTAATTCGCAATAAAAAAAACCATAAAAGAAAAAAAAAAGAAAAAAAAACCTTTGTAAATAATTGAGGTGTGAATAGCTGGTGATGATTCTTTGTTATCTGCCCTTGTTGTCAAAGATTACACAGAGCATAGTACAGCCAGACTAAATGATAGCATAGAGGAAATATCAATAATTAACATTATACATAGATTGCTCTCTCTCACTGAATCATTCTCTACAATTACAGAAACAGACAAAGTTATGAAAACAGAAATAGGAAGATAAGGGATGGGGAGGAGGGAATGACATAAGAAGTCCATGGGATGTTGAAACAATGTTTTGCTAAAGACAGTTAAACAAAGATATGACAGCACTGTCAAGGATAAAAAGTATTATAATTATTTAAATATTCAATTGGATAAGGTTTTCCCATTTTTTCCAATCATTTGTGAAATTTTGTTTGTAAGACGTGTTTTTGCTATTTGAAATATATTTTTGAATAGAATAGTGATTTTGTGTAATCTTTACAATGGCGTTGATATTGAGAGTAGCATGGAGGCATCTTGTTTTATATATATAATGTTTAATCATAAGAATTACTTCATTGTCAACTCTAAAGCTAGGGCTATTGTTCCTTTTAATTCCAAGTATAAAAGACGGTTTGTTGACTGAGAATGGTATTAATAAAGAATCTGTTAGTGTTTCAAATGATTTTAAAAATGTTTTGCACTTCCTGACATTCCCAAAGGAGATGAGTGATCGATTCTCTTTCTGAGTTGCATAGATTACAAAGTGGACTGGACACAAGTTTTGCCTTAAAAAGCCTACTATTAGTTGTCAGAATGTGATGAGAGATCCTATACTGGAGCCATTGAAGTTTGGTATTTTTTGTAATTTGAAATGGCATTTTGTAGAAATTTTCCCAATCACTATTTGTTAAATCAAACTGCTCTCCCCATTTAGCTTTACCAGTTGGCTCTGTCCGAGTTGTATTTAAGATATTATAAAATATTTTTGAACCTTTTAAATGCTCGAAAAAACATCTTTATATATAATGGTATTACAGGCCGTTGAAAGTCATTCTTCACAGGTGGATCATCTCTTAGGAATTTTTTAACTGCAGAAATGATACCTTGATAGTTCAAAAAGTTAGTTGTCACATTGTATATTCTCTGAAAGTCTTGAAAACTAAGAAAATTATTAGTATTACCAGCTTCTAGTAAGTCTGCTATTGTTCTTATCCCTTTTCTATACCATTGCTTATAAAAAAATGATTTTCCAGATAGAGTGATATTTCTATTAAACCATATAGGTATTCCAAAACTGATTTTTCCTTTCCTGTACACATTTCAATTGTTGTTTGTAGTTTGTACCATACTCTGAAAACATCTTTACAAAATTTTTTTTTGATTTCGTTTTTGCAGTTTTGTATATACTCACCTCCAATATTCAGTAGGATGTCAATGTTTACATTAGTCTGTAGTATTGCAGACCATTTACCTGCTCTATGACAAAGTCTCCTTACCCAACTTAGTTTTAATGCATCTGCAAAAGCTCTTATATTTATCATTTTTAAACCACCATTTCTAAGGTCTTGCATCACTTCATTTCTCTTGATTTTGTCTATTTTACTACTCCACAAAAATTCAAATATGATAGATTCGATTGTCTTAAATGTTTTTTCATCAGGATTCGGTAAAGCTATAAAGAGGTGGTTGAGCTGAGAAATTAAAAGGGATTTTATTATGTGTATTTTACCTATTGGTGTAAGATTTCTTCTTTTCCATGTATTTATAAGTGCTTTTAGCTTTACTATTTTCTTGTCATAATTAATTTTTGGCATAGCATGAAGATTGACATCAAATTCTACTCCTAGAAGAGTAAACCGCTCTTGCCCCCATTGTAGATTCAAATCTGGTAAAAAAGTATCTTCACTATACTTCTTAGACCCTATCCATATAATCTGGGTCTTATCAATGTTTACTTTAAGACCTGGAATGCTAGCATATGTATTAAGTTCTTTTAAAGATACCGATAATGATGGTTCAGATCCATCAAGTGTGAAAAAAGTGTCATCGGCGTATTGAGATAGCAAAATAGGAAGCTCACCTGCTTTGATGCCTTTAATTCTATGGTTATTTCTAATTCTAATCGCTAGAACTTCAGCACAGAGGATGAAAATATAGGGTGCGAGCGGATCGCCTCGTCTACAGCCCCTTCTAATATCAAAGAAAGCAGATAAGTTACCTCCCTGGTTAATTGAAGCTGATACATTTTTATGTAGCGTTTTAAACCTTACAATAATATCATTTTTGAATCTAAAATAGATTAAAACCTTTTCAATAAACTTCCAAGAGACAGAGTCAAACGCTTTTTCAAAGTCTACCATTAAAATCATACCTGGTACATCATTTTCTTCTGCATAATGCATTAAATCATATAGTAGTCTAGTGTTTTCTCCTATATAGCGTCCCAATATAAAACCAGTTTGATCCATATTAATTAGCTTGTCTAAAACTGACTTAATTCTATTAGAAATAATCCCTGTTGCTATTTTGTATGTAACATTTAATAAGGATATTGGACGACAGTTTTTAATAAAATGTCTAGGCTTATTCTCTTTAGGAAGGCAGGTGATCACTGCTTGTCTCTGAGTAACTGAAAGTTCTCTATGTGAATACCCATAATTTAAAGACCTGACAACATAAACACCTATCTTATTTCAAAAAATTAAAAAAAAAAAAAAAAAAAAATGAACCCATCTGACCCAGGACTTTTGTTGTTTTTCATATTCTTTAAACATTTACTGGCTTCTTCTAATATGATTAAACCTTCTAAATTTTCAGCTTCTGTTTCAGAGAGTTTAGGAATACTGTTAAAATTTAGATATTCATTTAAATTGATGTCTGTAATATTTCCTTCTTTATATAGATTCTCATAAAACAATTTTACTGTTTCTAAAATCTCTTCCTGTTTTATAATTATGTCTCCTTCATCTGTCTGAACTTTCGGAATTATTTTTGATGAAAAGTTTCTATTTTCTAATCCAAAAAAATAGCTTGTTGGTTTTTCCCCTTCCTCTATCCATTGTGCTCTAGATATCACTAAACTGCCTTTCATTCGAAGTATTCTAATCTGCTCTAATTCTCTTTTCTTAGATTCTATCTGGTTTATATCAATATTATCATCATTTTCTAAAACCTGTATGCTATCTTTTAATTCATTTTCTCTCATATTTCTCTGTTTTTTCCTGTATGATGAATAGGAAATACTTTTACCTCTTATATTCCTTAAAAAGAACCTCTAAAAACAGTTGGTCATTTATAAGTAGTTGCAAATCTGTATCTGAAATAAATTCTAAATTTTCAAGATTATAAATTGGTACACAGTATTCTTTTTTTGTTTTTAAAATGACATTCTTAACCAGTTCTCTATATTCTTGATCATATAGCAATGAGTTGTTAAATTTTCATAGCCCTTTACCTTTTTTAAAATCATTGAACTGAAGAGAAATGTTTGGAAAGGAGTGGTCAGACCTGTAACCTGGTTCGATAGTTGCCCTTTTTATATTAAGTGTTTTATTTGACAGGTCTTTTCGCAAAAGATTCCGAAACGGGCGACCAGAAACGGGAGAGACATTTTCACAGTTTGCTGTGATGTTAGAAAGCTACTTCATACGGTGAATCGAGCTAGCTGGTGTTGCACAAACATTTGTAGGTTTCCGTGATTTGATGACCAGAGATCAATTCATCCAAGTTTCCGGAAACGAACTGAAACATATTCCATCCAGCATTGCATAGATGTCCAAGTAAACGGATCAGTATGCTGATGCCAGAGGCAACCAGTCAAATTTAGCTCAGCCTCGTCCAGACCGACAGAAAGGGACTAGCGATGGGAATAGTTCGTGTGGTAACTCTAGAAACCATCAACGTGGTGATGGGAGCAGCGACAAAGCGTCAAGCGATAAAGATGGTTATGCAGGTGGTACGAAATGGACTTGCTTTATTTGTAATTCACCTGATCTTCTGGCGTTTAAGTTTCCTCAGAAGAAAAGGAACCAAGTTACTTTTGTTATTTGTTACGGACTGGTGGAATGATTTAATGGAACTTCCATGGCCATTCTGAAAAGGAACGACCTCGCGATTGGCACAGTTACTTGAACGAACTACTGTTCGCCTATCATGAGGTACCGCAGGCAAGTTTGGGATTTGCGACTTTCAAACTTCTGTATGGTCGGACGATAAGGGGCCCAATGATTATTCTAAGGGAATTATGGATCAAGGACGTGCCCGATCCAGACACAAAAACTACGTATTAGTATGTGGTAGATTTGCGGGAAATATGAGAAGACACCTGCAAGCTGGCTAGGGAGCAACTTAAAGCAGCTGGAGAGAAGCAGGCCAAATATTACATCAGAAAGGCATAGGTTAGAGATCTGAAGTCGGGGCAGAAGATGATGGTTTTGCTTCCTAGAAAGAAGAATAAACCGTTGATGCAGTGGAAGGAGCCCTACGTCATCGAGGATAAGAAAAGTGACATAGACTATAGCGTGAACATCGACGGCAAGTTAAAAACTAATTTGTTGAATCATTTCATTGAAGTTGAGGTCATCAAAGAGGAGTCGGGTGTACTTTTCGCCGTCTGTATGTCAAAGATCGCTGATGAGGAGTACGAAGATGGATAAGTGGATTCCTATGTGAGTTCGGGAAACAACTTTACGCCTCCACAGCCGATTAGAACTGAATCAATCGAGTACGTTGGTGTTTCTAGTGATCTGACGGAAGGACAAAAGAAGTAAAGAGGCTGCTTCACGAGTTTTTTGATGTTTTGGCTGACGGTCCGGATACCACTAACTTCATCCAAAACAAAATCAGGACAACATTGAAAGAGTCTGTACGTGTAAAGAGCTATAATATTCCTTTCGATATGAAGACAGCCATAAGGGAAGAGGTAGACAAGATGTTGAAGATCGGAGTGATAGAGCCATCAAAGTCAACATTTGCATCGACAGTTGTGATTGTGCGGAAAAAAGACGATAGCAATCGTTTCCGCATCGACTTTCGACAGCTGAATCGGATTATCGTCTTTGATGCGGAGCCGATGTCTAGTGCTGACGATAATTCTGCAAGGCTTGCAGGACAAAGGATTTTTACTCGTCTGGATTTGAGCAAGGGTTACAGGCAGGTGCCAATGGGGGAGTCATCAAAGAAGAAAACAGCGTTTGCCACTTCAGTAGGGTTGTTCTAGTTGAGCATTATGCCGTTTGGGCTGATGAACGCGCCGGCGACTTTTGCCGCCTTATTAGGAAACTCTTTCGAGAAATGGATGACGTCGAAAGATTCATAGATGATATCCTCATTCAGTTTGCTATATGGGAAGAACATATGGCCATTTTGAATGAGTTGTTTTGCCGTTTACGGAATGCAGGATTGACAGCTCGTCCGCGAAAACCAGCGTCTCCTTCCTAACCCAGAGAAAGTCACGGCTATCCTGGATGTATCTACACCGCAAACAAAGAAACAATTTTCTTGGTATGGCCGGATCTTACAAAAAATTTATTCTAGATTTTGCTTCCTTCGCAGTTCCTTTAACGGACTTGACAAGAAAACGTCAACCATAAGATTCAATGGGGAGAATCGCAGGAAAGATATTTTGTCTCACTGGAGAAATTCCTATCTACTAGGCTTATTTTAAAACTTCCCAATATTAAGGAATAATTCATTTTGCAAACGGATACTACCGACCACGGACTTGGCGCGGTTCTTCTTCAGGATGAAGACGGAAAGTGTCTGCCTGTGGCGTATGGCAGTCGGAGGCTTAAGGAATCTGAAGTATCATATTCGGTGAAAGAGAAAGTGTATGGCTGTGTTGTTTGGGATAGTGAAGTTTTAGTGCTATCTGTATGGGCGACATTTCGCTCTAGAGACAGACCATCAACCGCTACTCTATCTGAACAAGATGAAGGGTTCGAATTCGCGGCTTATGAGATGGGCGTTACAGATGCAACCATGCCGACTGTGCTATTCGAGGCAGAGACAATGTTACTGCAGATTGCTTGAGCAGACTGTGAATAATTCTGAGGAAATTAGCATTTCAGAGATATTATTGATCCGATGTTAGAATCATTCTACGGGTATCATGAAAGACTGACTATAAGTGTACATATCGGATGACCTGTATATTAAGATTATTTGTATAGATTTCAATAGGTGTGTTATATAATAATCCGACATTGATTTGCGGTTTATTGTGACTGTTAACTTTGATATTTTGCGCTATTAGCGATTGTATGTATGGCTAGGTGTTTTGGGCTTCCATAGTAGGGAGTTCACCCGGCTTGTTAAACGAATGACGTGGCATAGAAATGGTGATGTCATTTTCCATAAGAAGTGTGAATAGCAGTCACGGTATGTTCGAAAACTATCAATATTTCCTTTCTGAGTGCGTACGTAGTCGTTGGTTTGAGTGTGGTTGTGTAAAGTTAGTTTAAAATGTGTTAAAATGCAATTATTGACGGTGTTTACCGGGTATGCCCTGTACTGTTTATGTAACCTGTATGGTTTTGTTGTGTTTATAGAATTATGTAATACGTGTAGACATGTCTATATATTATATCTAATGTTGTAACGTTGTTACTATCATAATTTTAGGGTTACATTTGTATGTTGTAACTTCACATGTGAGTATACCTTGACCTTTATGGAATAGTACAGAAGCCAAGAGAGACACCTTTTTCAACACGCAAAGACTCTGCATGGTTCCACTGTGTGAAGTACAAGTGCCACAAATATGTAACTAAATATTGTGGGAAGTAGAGGACGCAACGTTAGTGGGTACTCGAGAGTAGCATCACGTCTGCTGCATTATGGTGTATGTTTGAGGCACGTTTGTAGGTAGACCCGAAGGGGTCAATATTCCTTTCCGTTTGTGGAGACCTGAATCCACCAGCGTTAAGGAGAGCGGTCTCAACGAGGCAACGGACAGTTCATTATACCAAACCGGAACCGGAAGTATTTTTGTACATTTTGGAGCGGATGGAGTTTCACTCTGTGATACCAAGTGAAGTTATAATGACTTTAGGGTCTAGATGAATTTTATGTAAATATATAACTGACTTGTGAGTTTGTGTGTGTACTGGTTGAGTGCATATATCTAGGAAGGGATATGATTGTGTTGGTGCAAAGTGATTTTATATCATAGAAAAAATAGTACAAAAATACAACCTGTACAATAGTTGTATATTGATTGTAATAATAATGTATAATAGAAATTGTAAATATAATATGTCCGGGATTTGTTATTATTTTGGAAACATGGGTGGCAATCGCTCGGCTAGGTTACGCATGTATTTTTTTTTTTTTTTTTTTTTTGTATATTGAAGAAATGTTATTAATTATTTTTTTTTTAATTAAGAAAATTTCATACTAAGAGAAAACATAAATGGCAATATCTGAGTAATATTCTCCTCAAGAAGAAACGTTCTTCGAAGTTTAAAAGCTGTCAGTATGAAAGTCTAGGATTAGATGACTAAGGTTAAGTGATTATTCAAATTTAATTGTTTTCATCTTCTAGTGGTTTGCCCTTTTTGTCTCCTGCATGGTCTTTGTACCAAGTCTTCAGCTCCTCTATCGTCGTGGGCAATTCGTATCCTTTGGTCTCTGGGAGGAAGGTCAATAGGTAAACAGCAAGCAAACACATCGCAGCCGATATAGCACCTGGACCCCACGTAATATAATCCATCTAAAAGGATAGAAAAGGTGTAACATCAGCTGGATTTCAAACTGGTAATTGATATTGTAAATGCAATGTTTTTCTCGAGGCTTAAATGCCATAGCTTTGCAATACTACGTCTTAAATCATTATCCACAAAATCACCTTATAATGAATTTTCATATCAACTTTGTATAAAAACTACCTATTTGTGGCTTTATAAAATTTGCAGAAGAATAATGACTTCATAGTAATTGTACACGATCTTCATTTTCTGTGATAATTTCCATTTTGTAACCTAAATATGCTTATTGTTGACTATTAATTAAATCAGGATTTTATCGTCTGAAACCTTTAATATCTAAATCAGTCCAGATTATGACTAGATATAGTCAAAAAAACTATTTGTCAATAGTACAAATAAGCAAGCAACCATGCAACAACAACAACAATTATAATAATATATAAAGAAGAACCCGTTTCTTACATCTTCATCTTGCAAATCGACTTTTACGTATGAATACTATTACAGGATCATAGATGTAATGAGAAATTAACTATCTGGATAAAGTGTCATTACCTGGACAAAAAATTACATTTGTATTACAAAATTTTACAATTTAAACTCCTTAATCATATGAAATCTAATATCTCATTAACGAATGACAACAAATGTATCAAATATTTACCAGAGGGCCTGCGAATGGTGCCAACATTCCTCCTATTCTAGCTACGGACGAGGAGATGCCAATTCCTGCATTTCTATTTTAAAATATCAACAAATCCAATATAATATTCAGGAATATATTGTACTGATAAGGTAGCAAATAATCTATTTCAGAAGTTATGATGTCATCCAAATATCAAATATGTATAATATTTGTCCTATGAAATTTTCATCACTTCTTGGAGTTAAAAATACATTTTGGGTCTTAATGTGCGTTTAGTGTTTAATTTTGGAAAAAAATCCACTTAAAAATGTTCCGAAACAAACAAATAAATACATACATGTAATATAACAACCTTGAAACTTTCATCTACATCAGAAAATAACTAGTCTAGACTTATAAACGATAACATATAAGTATGGATAGAAATTCTCACCTTCAGTGACAAAAAATATGAACCTTAACCAGATAATCTACGCATGGCATACATACTTGTGATACCAACATATTTACAGTTACGATTTTGCCAAATGAATTTCAATGTCCATAGGACTGTCATAACTTCATATTATTATTTCTGTTATTGAAAGGCACGTCATTCTTCATGGGCGAAAGTTTGGAGAAAAAAGTTTTGTAATAAAACAAATGATTAATTGGTGTTTCAATCGCCTCTCAGTAATTTAGACACGTAAGCATTTGCAAGGAAATGTCCAGAATCTTTGACAACTTACCTTAAGTTCGTGGGATACAGTTCAGGTGTGTATAAAAATACAGTACTGAACGATCCTGTAATTCCAAATTTCCCAACGAGATTGAATACTAACGACACTGCCCCCAGTGTACCAGCTCCGTCTGAATAAAAAATGAACCAATAAACTACAGTTAGTAGAAATAAGAAAGAGAGGAAATTACTCTGAATAGAATTCACCATGGCATATCAAGCATTGATCTCAATATTGCAAACACAATACCAACTAAGGGACCTAGAATCATGTCGTTATGGATTTGTCATATTGCTTTCACTCTCATCTTAACAATCAAAAGCCACGACAATAGATACATCAACAGATATAAATAAGATCACAACAGAAATTCATAACACAACCAAGGGGGAAGGACATCCTCGACGCCTGCGATACTAAAACCAAAGCCATTATGAATACCAAAAGCGAATGCAAAGGTCATCGTAACTTGATACCTCATTTAGCACATTCTCCTGTGAATTATCAGTAACACGTCAACAAACGACGTTACAAAAATTACGTCACATGTGCCATTGATGATACAAAAATACTTATTTTTCCATATGGCAGCCATGATACACGAAAAGAAGTAGGAATCATAAGGTCCCGTATTTCCCTGATATGTATCGCATCCGTAGTAATCTTGAGCTGACACTGTTAAGAATTTTCACCTTTTGGCTATGATAACGGATAATGATATAAAAAAAAAATACCTGAAAGTGTTTTGCATATCGTGGACACGGCAAGGGCGATCCCAGCAATGACGTGAAATAAAATACAGGTTTTACGTCTCCCAATTCTGAATATAAATAGAAAGACAATAGTTTACTTTTTTAGCACGACAGCTGGGCAACACTTTAAAGTAGGGCTTAGCAATGTGAAAAGGAGATTAACTTTTATCCGACATCAAAGTATGGGTAGTTTAAAACATTTTCTAGCTTCTCTAGTGTGAAAACAGGTCCAGCATATTAAAGATGACGATATCAAATCCTGTTCAAGTCATGAAAAAACCTGTTAATAAGCAGTAACTCCATCAAAGCAGCGGGGTACTCAACAATGGCTATCAGGAAATAGTTGATGAAACGGTCACCAGACAGTGTTGATGACGTCAATGATAGGGCGTAATACACCAAACTGTTGACCAACCTGAACAAACGGGAATTTAAACCATTAGAATTCAGAAGCTACTACCATTATTCGAGTTAAAGAGCTAACCGCACCATGATATGTGCCGGAAGCTTTCGCCAGCTAAAACAAGACTTGGCAGAGTTCAGATATGACAAAACATTTTGATATGTATATCACTTTGATTACATTGGTATTTTCACGTATATCACTTTTGCGATTTATATATGTATTCTGAACTTACCAAGTGTACCATAATATTAAGGAGTTAAACAAAATCACTTTATGACGAAATATCGTGATTACGTTGTAACGTTTGATGGGTGCAGCAAAATCTGCACGCTCTCCCCCATGAGAAATCTCGACGTCTTCGTTGAGGCCAGTTCCAATCCCTACCTCTTTGATTACATCGGGTTCGGCACCATTCAAAAGAATGGGAATGTCATTTTTCTTATCATGTGACACATGATTCTCTCCTGGTATCAGAGCTGTCATTTCTTTGGGACTTTTTACTGTCGCCGCTTTGATGACATCATCGAAATTCTTTCCGTTTAATTTTGCTGCCTTTCTAACAACTCGTTCTGCATCTTTCTGTTTTCCATTGGCTAACAACCACCGGACTGATTCGTCCATGATCCTATGAAATATATTTCACAAGCGTAAGAGATGGTTTAATACAAGATTGATAATCTTGTTGCCAGATCCATTTTCAATTTTATAATTTGTGTATGTGTATGTTGTAAATGAAAATCTGAAAATAAGATATTGTTTAAACCAAGCGTAAGCTCTGAACAACACTAAGAACCTGATATTTCTGTAATAAAAGGATTGTATAAAATCCATCCAAGTGAGAGAAAAAAAACCGCAAGATTAAATGTGATGGTACAATAATATAATAATATAATTAACATTGGATTGGATCTTGATCTTGGTTACTGTATTGGAAATATGACTTTCACAATACAGTTGAAAATATGTTGAAACTCCTATCATATGTCATGTGTATATTACTGTTGGTATGGAAGATAAATTTTGTCTTCTCAACAAGGGGTCGATCTCATTAGATGTAATTTATTATTAGTATCATCTGATAGGGGATTTGATATTAGTCTCATTTACATTTACTTACTGATCCCAGTTTATATCAAATACCCTAAAAAGTTGGAAACATGTGACCTTAATGATAATAATCTAACCTTGATTCTCATACAACTAAACCTGCTTTAAAGAAAATACGCAGCGTCAGTTTATGTTATTTACATTAAGTCATACGTATTTGTTCCCAGCCTACGTGAGCAAAAATTGAATAATTTGCCTGTAAATAAAAATGTTATATAGTAATTGTCCTCATACCAATATTCCACAAGGCTGTAACACGAGAAAAGAGCCAGCGCCATCTGAAGGTATCGCCAGGACAGATTCCTGAAGAAATATCCCATAGGGGATAATAAGTTTATCCCTGTAGTCCAGAAAACCAGTCCGAGACACTCGCCTATATATCGTTCTTTCAAAGGTAATAGCTCCAAGGAAAGTATTGCCATAGTTAACCCCGAGCCCTGTCAATAGAAACAGTTAGCTATATTGTTATGGATAATTGTTTGAGATTTAGATAATTTAATTCAGGTGTAGTCTGCACCGACATCAATTGGCACATAGAAAAATTAATAAATAAAATGTCATCGCCAACTATGCAAGGTTTATTTATTATTCGACAGGTGAATGATTTTATTATGTTTTCAGTTAATAGCAATTTTTCAAAATTTCCTTTATATTTTCTTGTATTTTACCTATTTCCCAGGAAGGTATATGACATTAATAAGATATGCATACAACAAGTCATAAGATAAAAAGGAGATAAATTAAAGTTGTACAATGAAATTATATTCCTTTGGTTAATGTGTTTTAAATTTGTGTTTTGCATTATGCTTATTTTTAACCAAAAGGAGAAGAGTACCCAGGAAATCAGGCCAAAGCTTACTGTCAAACTGAAGGACTTATGTAACGTGTCAATAACCCATTCTACAAGATGGAAGAAAATGGTGAAGGATTTGATGTGTCCCAGCATCCTACATTTGATCTTTTATGATTTGACGTACATCTTCGTCTTGGCATAATTCTGTGCTAATGTTTTCGGCTGCATAGATATATGAAAATTTTAATACTGTTGAAAATATATTTCACTACTTGGGAGATATATTCTTTGCTGTTTTTGATGTATATATACCCAAACTATTGCCCAACTCGTGATTTGATTCGCGTTTTAAAGATTTCAACACGAATATGCTTTTTGATGATAATGTTACCTGCTGTACAGCGCCTAGGATGAATCTTAACACAGCAAACACGGTGTAATTTGGAGACCAAGCTATCGCGAAAGAGATGGTGAATAGTGAGATGTGTCCCAATACATGGACCTTCCTTCTCCCAAATCTGTCGGAGAGAGACGTAAATATTGCAGCACCGAACGCCTGTCCAAGGATGACTAATGTCTGTGAGAATTCCGCCAGTTCTGCCCTGTCGCAAACAAGATCCCACTTGAAGAGAAATTGAGCATAAATTTAAAGTAACATAAAGAATAAATAAATGAATGAATAAAAATGTATAGATTTAAAGAAACTTTTAATAAAAAATGCAAATAATGTTTTTCGTTTGGTTAAAAAAATGTTTTGTATTTTGAAATGATTGAAAAAACGATAAAAATAAATATATATTGACCTCGGTTACTAGAGTTCTGTCCTTTGGCACTGAATAGGAGTATCCTGACAAACATTCTGTAGACTTTATGAGAGTTGAATTGGTTGAATCCGTGTATACATCGATAGAGCATTTGTTGTACACAAAATTATAAGAGGCATTGTCATATATGTAGGAGTCGTCACCAAATATTATATCCACAGTGGTATCGTTACATTGGAAAGGTGGCCGATAGGCTGTAAAAGAAAAATATAAATTTTGTATATATCTGAAAAAAGGTATAGGCTATACAGAAAAAAACTGAATTGTGTTCGATACAAATCTACACATCTGCAGTCCATTTATATACAATAAGTATTGGCAACGATTACAATAGGAAGTTGTCTCCATAGGGTAAGTATTATCTCACCTGGTCGTCAGGTTGTCAGTTTAAGGGAATTAGAGAGTGTCGACTATTGGTTTTAAACTAATGACATGTACATGCCAATTAGTTTGTTTATAGATAACTATCTAACGTGATCTTAAATGAGTTTAATGAGTCTGAAGGACCGGTGAGCTTATGCCATGGCACGACGTACGCCATTCGTCTTTAAACGTCTGTCAACTTTTTAATTTGGTTATATGGGGACAGGGGAACCACGTTTGAAGAAATTTTGATTCTCAGCGCGGGAGGAACGAGGCCCAACGGAGTAAAAGAGCGAATAATATGATATCCTACTCCTCCTATAGAAACGAATGGATATTGCCCAAACTTGATCTAAGCATCCTTGGCTGAATGGGAATAAATCAAGTATAAAAGTTGGGACTCGATCCCTTTCAGTGGCAGGGCCAAATACGGGAAATAAAGTAAATTCTACTTTATCCTACTCCTCCTGTAGGAATGTATCTATATTGCCTAAATTTAGTCTGAAATATTCTTGGATGAAGGAGAATCAGTTTTGTACAAAAGTAAGGTCCCTGCACCCGGGGACTGGAGGGAAAGGACCAAATAGGGAAATAGAGCAAATTCTATAAATTTCTACTCCTCTTGTAGGAATGAATGGATATTGCACAAAGGCAGGGTTTCAAAATGACCTAGGAAGCAACATACAATAAGTTGAATGTGCTATTGATAACTTCTGTAGTCGCACAAATATGCATTGAAGTCCTAATATGCATACACATGTTATGTATCATCTTCCGAAAAGGTCAAAATTACAACTTCCATTACAAGTCCATTCGTAAATATGTGTTGTAAACCATTTTCAAATATCAAAAATAGTTTGCCAAAAATGAAGTAAAAATGGGTTTTGTACAAAGTAATTAAAATTGATTGACAATATTGGTACACTAATAACCCACTAAATTGAAATTTCAGCTTTCAAAGTAGCCGTTATGTTTCCTGCGTACCACGAAAAAAATAATTGTTCTTACAACTGTTAAATCAATATTCTGACAAGAATGCCTCAATTGGACCTGGAATCGTACAATGCCTCGTGAGTGCCGATAGATCCAAATAACATGTCGGTCTTGAATCTGTTGCGCAAATGCAACAATCGAAAAGTCCTGTCTTCTCGTGCGGTCATTGCACGCTGAATCCCGCTCCTGGGACGATCAGAATCTAACCCAGGTGCATGGAAATGTGTACAGAGAGGTTTAATTGTACGCGGCGCAACGTCAAACCACCGTACGACAGTAGTTGGTTATGGCAATCTATCAACATCGCAATGGTTTTCCTCCTCTGAATTTGCGTCAACTGTGGCATCTCAGTCAATGGCGAAACCGAACGTGGAAAATGAATATGGCTGAATGTAGGGTATCCGCTGGAATTATTCGTTTGATTTGGACTAAAGAATTTCACAAAGACAAAGAAATCGTCACGATTGACTGATTTTAGGGAAGATAGTCGAGAAAGATCATTCTTGATGTAATACCCGACCAAATATTCCATTATTTCCTTATAGGTAAGGTTGACTGCAGGGGGAACTTTGTGCGTTTCTTTTTTGATGAGTATATGTACCGCCAAGTATTACAGTCGCCCGTTAGCTAGGAAATGCTTCTGAAAACACTGCGTTGGCCTCCAGAACATTTTCTCTTGTAAGATGTTTTGAGTTTGTCAATTATCGGCACCTTGCGACATGAAAATACAATTGGTTGGTGATGCAGGAGCCAAAAGAAACGGTATTGTCCTTATTATGACACCACAAGCGATTTCTGACTGGTACAGCCATGATTAAAAAACCTTCGACACACCATTGGTTGGTGACGCAAGAGCGTTTCTATTCAGAAAGTACATCATATGTTACAAAAATAGAATTTGAATGACAGCTGCGCAATCTTCAAATTTCAAAACAAAATGTAATTGGCCATTTTATAATACCGCAATCGATATCTCACTGGCAGAGCCAGGGTATGTAACGCGAGACAAAAAAATATGCTAAAATATGACATGGGCTAATGTATCAGATACATACCGATAAACACCGATGAAAGGAGATGAAATGCCAAAGGTATGATACCTATCAGTATGAAAGCTAGTTGATACCGCTGATATTTCCCAAAGGGTCCTAAAGCTATCCATATTTCATCAACATCAAGTGCTCCGTCCATCTTGCTCTGAGATATGACCAGGCATCAGCAGATGAAAGACCTATGTACAGTTTGAATGAGTATTCATGGACATGAATATTCTCCCCTGGCCTGGTTCTGTTGTTTTATTAATCCTATGTATTCACTCGTTCTATTTACATGTACGAACACGTGTTACAAGGATTAGACAATGCTATTCAGTAATATTTTGTTCTCAGTGTATTTTTATTTCAATGTTTATGAAAACATTACAAAATATTTATTTTTTCAATTGGAAGTACATGTATTCGATTGTGAGATAAAGAAGTTCTTATTTAGGAAATACCTATTTGAATCTATTGTCTTAATATGCTCACTTCGGTACTTGAACTAGTGTTTAAAATAGAAGCCGCTATTCTCATTTTGTTTCCAAAAAACGAAAAGAAAGAAGAACAGCCTAATAACTTCAATATTCATAAATATTTGACCAAAGAAGGGACGAGATTCATACTATATAACGAACCCTTCTGTGACACTGCAAGTGTTAAATTTTCTCTTAAATGTGATAGCATGTACACGACATTATGTCACCAGTGCACAAAACCGTATACGCCACAACAAATGACATGCGCAGGAAGAGACTCCATGACAATCCAGTATAGTATATTCAGCCCCTTCACTGTCGGATATTATAATTTAATTTTCGTGTACAAATTAAGGAGCATCATGTCGTATAAACATTCAGAACGGAACATATATTCTTTAATTTTTAATACATTATTAGCTTGGTGAAGTTGACGAGGAAGGTCGTCATAATAATATCATCAACAAATATCGTATTTCTTTATGCTAAACTAAGATTGAGATCTTTAATGCTTGTTAGTATGTCTGGTGGTTCCTTTGCTGTTTGCACTGTTTTCCTATTGGAACGTGCCATACCATACTTGGATTGACTACGATTTTAATGATATTAAATCGAATTCAAATCTCTTTGTTGGGCTCTATTTCATTGTATTTTATTGACCTAGATTGAATTGACGATTGCCATTCATAAACTGAACAAAGCTCTTATCTTTAGTATTTTTTTATTTTCCCTCTTTTCAGCTGTTTATGTAACATTTAAAAAAAATCTGATTAATTCGCAAATGAATATCCTTTAATGTATATACTTTTAAATTCGAAAAGTAAAATTAACGACGTGAAAATATACAGGCACTCTTGATGAGATTGCTATGCATTTAAAACCATTTTACACCGTGATATAGAAAGGCCCCATGGTTGACACTTAAATAATATTCTTTTTTCAGTGCACAATACATTGAGTACTGTATTAATTTTGCGATAATAAAAAACAACCTAGAAAATGCCGACATGAATCTAAAATAATTCCTGCAATAGCTGGCCAACGGTGGAATACTGTACAAGTAGGTCTCTTAATCAAAGTGCAGTGTTTTCCTCGTCCTCGCCCTTTCTGTCTCCTGCATGGTCTCTGTACCAAGTCTTCAGCTCCTCTATCGTCGTGGGCAATTCGTATCCTTTGGTCTCTGGGAGGAAGGTCAATAGGTAAACAGCAAGCAAACACATCGCAGCCGATATAGCACCTGGACCCCACGTAATATAATCCATCTAAAATGACAGAAAAAGTGTAACATCAGCTGGATTTCAAACTGTAAATTGATACTGCATACTGATTTGAAATGAACAATTACCGTGATTAAAAGCAAAAAAACACCAGTTGATAAAATATATATACACCGTTTAGAGAAATGTATAGCGGTATGTGATAAAACCAGTGTCTTCAGATTTGATTTTCTGTAACAAGTACTTGAAGCATTTTTGTAAAATACCATTAGGGTTTACATGTTTTTATATTTCAAGACGATCTCGCCGTTACCTCTTTTTGTGCATTTTGGCAAAAATGAAAGGAATATTAGATTTAGTTTATCCTATATATGATGGTAACAGATAATTTTATCACACAGCCCTCTACAGCAACACATCTGATAAACATACACATGTGATTGACATTCTTTTGAAATCAATATTGATATTTAGATATATAGAAATTCAGAGATCAAGTATATCCTAATATTTTTTTTTTTTTTTTTTTACATAAATATAAAAATTAAATTTTAAATTGATTTCAATCAGTCCTGATTTTTCACTTCTTAGATTTCAACAATTTAAGTTCAAAGTATCACTGACAAATCATAGATGGACGAAAGAACTTTTTGATGCAAGCTACTTCATATTTGGCATAAACTGTATCTAATATTGAATAAGGGTTGCTAAATGGCATTCCCTTGAGTGTCCGTTGTAAAGCCATCGGTTAATGATAAAAATGAGCTTAGAAATGATTCAGTAATTAACTTGGTTAGATATAATCATAGCAACCTATTACATTGTTTGTAAATGATTCTCGTGTAACTAGCGTAACTTAGATAAGGGGGAAAATGAAAAATGAAATATTTCATATTTACCAAAGGGCCTGCAAACGGCGCTAACATTCCTCCTACCCTTGCTACGGTTGAGGAGAAGCCAAATCCAGCATTTCTGTTAAAAAATTTTCAACGCAACGTATAGAGTAGTTTACGTTTAGTTTTCGTATGTTTTTTGGTATTTATGCCAATTGATATTTCATTGAATTTACTTGATATCAAACGAGTTCTAATGGCTTTACCTTCTTATTTAAATTAATCCAATGAGACTGGCTATAAATCATCACACCAAGGAACGTTTTTGATATTTGGATTGAAAAGTGGCGTGTCTAACACATGGAAACATAGCAAACGTTCCATACTCAACAGCATTAGAAAATGAAGTATTCAATTGTAAATTCTTTAAATCAGGCAGAATAAACCAATCTTGGTATTTTGACTTTATGTTGCATTGATGCACAGTTTATCAAAAAATCGACCTTTGAACTATTAGTTTCAGAGTAAGTAAAAAATTTAAGTATGGCTGTCACAAAGTAATAAATGAAATCAATGGATTTGTTTAAGGCTTACCTCAGATTCGTAGGATACAGTTCTGGTGTGTATAAGAATATGGTACTAAACGATCCTGTAATTCCAAACTTTCCAACGAGGTTGAATACTAATGACACTGCTCCCAGTGTACCAGCTCCGTCTGAATAAAACATAAATCAATAAAGCACAGTTAGTAAGAGTTAGAAAGAGAGGAAATTACAATTAATTCTGGTTGGTTGAAAAAAAAAATCAAAAGAATTACATTGCAATTTAAATCAGATTTCTTCTGTCCATTTGAAATATACACGGGCACGCGTTACAAGGAAGTCATATTCAAAATATTAAACATTCAGAAGTTTCCGCAAGCATCGATTTTAGAACTCAGATGGATATACCATACAGCGTGAATAAATAAGACAAGATGGCGGCAATATGACAAAAAGAAACAAATTATACATCTTTGAAAAAAATATTTCGTTGTATGCATAACGTGAAGGTTAAATTCAACTATTGCGGCTAAATTTCAAATTAATTTCAAAATATTGACAAATGTCATGCCATTTGCTGTAATTTTTTGAACTTCCTAAACGTCGGAAAAACAGACAAATTAAACTAACAATAAAAATCATCTAAGCTGACAATAAATACCATTGTAGCGGCAATTCGAATCAGATTTAAACAAGATTATTGGATATGGCAGATGGTCGTATTTACATATTTTAGTGTAAGACTTCTTGGGAGGTCTAAGGCTAACAAATATGACATGAGATCGTTTTAAGTAAGGTTACACAAAAATTACCTGAAAGTGTCTGACATACGGTAGAAACGGTTAAGGCTACCCCTGCGATCACGTGGAACAAGATGCATGTTTTACGCCTTCCAATTCTAAACAGCAATAAAAGGATATCTTAAGGTATAACTTCTGTACAAAAGGGGGGTTTCTTCCGAAGTTATTTCCATCTTGTACCATTAAACGCGAGTTCGTCATACGTTCATTTCACATAAATTTTCGCATCCATCTTAAATTCCTCTTACAGGTTCATGGACAAAAAGGATGAAAATTAAACGGAAATGAAGACGTCTTGATATACAATAAGCGTGTTGGACTAGAGCAATATTATACGGGAGAAGCCAGTAATATATCGAACAAATGAAATACAATATTTAATATCAAAGGTCTTTGAATTAGCAAATCCTTTATATCTCTTCTAGGGGATAGTATGCTTGTTTTAAGAGCATGAATTGTGGTTTTAACTTCGTCGAATGCTAAAACGGCGAAGTTTTCTGTTCTCGATAGTCTGATACTGTCAACAAACACATATGTTAGCAGATAATATTAACTAGTACATGTCACTATGATTATCACCATTGTTCTTTTGATGCTTTTAAACATTTTTTATGATCAATTTCTCCGATGTCGAGGTCAATCATCTGACTTAACATGGAAGATGAAAGCCATATTTGGGCAAATGTTGGACTGAATGTCATGACAACGATTTGATAATTCATCATCATATCGAGAATAAGATCATGAAAATGCATTACATAAATTGTTTCAGAAGTATGGTTTAGATAACAAGTTGATTGCTTCATTATTACATATTGATTAAAAATATCTCATGAAATGTTGAATAGTATGCGTTTTTGTAATGTCGATGGGTATTCTCTCATTATTGCATTCACATCACATTACAGACGCCGATGACATACTTATTGAGGAGAAGATACTCCATTAATGTCGATGGATACTCCACAATAGCTAACAGAAAGAAATTGACGAAACGGTCACCTGACAGCGCTGATGAAGTCAGTGATAAGGCATAATAAACTAAACTGCTGACCAACCTGAAACAATTTTTTTACAATCATTTACAATCATTCTCAATTACATCATTAATGTACAGTGTTTTTCAGTCCAGAAAGAAAAACATTTCAGTGACTATATTCTACTTATATTCTATCATATAAGAAATCTTTCGAGAGACATGCTAGAAATAACATATTTCTTTACAAATAGTAATAGATACATTTCATTTTGAACAAAGCATTTGCTTGCACATTATATACATATATGTTCCATTCTGCTATGACGTGTCAGTGATAAACAATCACCTCTGCGCAAATACCTACATATCTGAGGTGTATACACTTTTTGGCATTATGAAATATGTAAACGTCAATCTGACAGCCTTTCTCGCCAAAAATGGAATCAGCTGTTGTACTTAACTGCATTTTTTATCAGAAATTTAAATATAACGCAGTAACGCCGCCGTCACTTAAAACATACCTTAAAACTTAACAATGCAGTTAACACACTTGTAACCAAAACCAAAACAAACCCCCCCCCCCCCACTTTCAATTTTCAAGTCAAGAAATAACTAGAGATTACGAAAAAACATGCATTTTCCAAAAGGTATGCGTCACTGACATAAGAGTCTCTGAGCATTGATGGTCCATAAGCATAAGTTATTCTTCAGGTAGAAAATGTAATTGTTTGATTGGCACAATAACTCTCAAGTAATGCTGATTTTATTCAATTTTCAAATGTCTCATTTTGGCCCAGCTCCGAAACATCTTAATAAATGCTCATAAATGATGCTCTTTGTATGTAATTTGAAGTATTGATAGTATATATATATGTGTGCGATGATGGAATTTCAGCTCATCATTATTGCATATAATAATCACCAGGTAGATTTTAGAAGGGGATATCCACATATCATAAAAACAATCAAATTTATGTAACTTTCGGTCTGTAAGAAAAATGGTGGCTGTGCTAACACGTAAGCTTTGTGAGGATTCACTTACCATGTATACCATAGAATCAGGGAATTAAACAGAATAACTTTGTGACGAAATATAGTGATGATATTGTAGTGTTTGATAGGTGCAGCATCTTCTCTACCACGACCAACCTCAACGGCATCCGTGACTTTAGTCTCTTTTGCTGAATCGGAAATTCCTTTGAGTTCGGCATCATCCAGTTTTGTTAAAATTTCTTCTTCGTTCGAAGACATAGAAGTCTCAGTCGGAACTAAAGCTGCCGTTTCGTTTGAATTTTTAATTGTTGCTGCTTTGATGACATCATTGAAATTCTTTTCGTTTAATTTTGCTGCCTTTCTGATAATTCGTTCCGCTTCTTTCATTTTTCCATTGGCTAATAGCCACCTTAATGATTCGTCCATGATACTGTATAAAAATTTTAAAATATCACATAATTGAGCGTTTGCACAGTAATTTCGAACGGGGATCGAACATGTATACTGTATACTATATGCTAGATTGATGCTTGTGTATAAGGAAGGAATATATATATTTGCATGTAGTTAAGTTATGATTTGCCATCGTACCAATACTCCACAAGACTATAGCAGGAGAAAAGAGCCAGCGCCATCTGAAGGTATCGCCAAGACATATCACGGAAGAAGTAACCTAACGGAGCTAATACGATAATCCCAGTCGTCCAGACAATCTGATTAAGAATTTCGGCGAGATAACGTGATTCCAAAGGTAACATCTCCAACGTAAGAATGGAAAGAGTCAGTCCAGAGCCCTGTCAACAGTCGCCAGTATTGCTCTTTATAGACCGTAATTGCATATATTTATGCGGTTATCTTATATCGTGCTAAAATATGATTATAGTAATCACAGTTTCTGAATATTAATTATATAACAACCAGTGATGATTGTCATACTGAAGACGTGAAAATATCCTAAAATTTATTATATTTACATAAAATTAGTATATTTTGTGTTCTGAAAATTCAATTGTTTGATTCTGTGAAAGAAATTGCAATAATGACGCCTTGTATAATACTGTGATCTGAATAATTATATTCCAAAAGAACGTCAATGTTGCTTCGCAAACCAATTATTTAGGCTTTCATTGCTTACCTCATTTCAGGTTGGCACGAAGTATGTAGTAGATTGAACAATGATTATTTCATCTGCAACACCTGGGCACTAAATGACCCGAAGTCCAAAATTGCCTTCATGCGGTTCATGTATATAGCAAACTGTATTGCTTGTAAAGTGCAACGAATCTTAGGGACAGCGCTGAGATAACGTTTAACGGTCACTGTCGTTTTAATGCAATAGCATACATATAACTTTACCCTAATTGTTTTGACTTGTCAAAGAAGATATGGATAACAGACAGTTTACCAGTACCTATTTCCTTCACAAGTGTAATAAGGATAAACAAGAGGCCCAGTGGTCCTGCATCGCTCACCTGGTCTTCGATGTGCATCAAAAATATCATCAGTGTTTATTACAAATGCATTAAAGTGTATACCACTGCCATTTAAGGTGAGCACATCCAATCAATTCTAACAAATGTTCACAACAAACATCTTCTAATACTCAAATTGAAATAGTAACAGTTTAGATACGGATAACGGGGTAATGTCATTTCTGCTATTTCTCGAAACATATTTTCAACAAATATCCGCTTCTAATTTTTTTGGTTTTCCAGAGGTCTTTTATAGCTTTTGACTATTTGCCCCCATGTGACATGGAATACAATTCAGACTTCATCCTACAAATCTATCATCCAAATATCAATCAGAAGAATTGTTTTACGGTTTTAACAAATTTGACCCTTGTGACCTTGAATAAGGTAATTTCTTTTCTCAAACTTAGGGTTAATCCTAGACACCCACCAGCCAAATGCCACAACATTTGGTCTGTTGCTTATTTAACATACATCGTTTTCCTCCCGAACCGACAGATGACGGACGACGGGCCCCGCACTGCCACATAAGCTAAATCAAAAGCATTCTTTAGTCAAATCTAAGAACTGCATGGAAAAAAAGAGTAGTAAAGAAAAAATCAAAGAATTGTCCAAAGATGGTGTTCCTCCTATCAGAGCTGACATAAAGAAAACATTTATGCTGACACTAGATATCGCACAGGTCTTTCAACGAGCGCCTGATGTTAGATTTTTCGAAATTACAAGGTACGAATTCATCTACCGTAACAGTTTCACAGTTTTGTGGTTATAACTCTGGTATTTGTCAACATGTAGAACTAGATTCCTGATTGTTGTCCAATAAATAAATTTTAGTTAAATTCATCGGGAATTCATAATTTAAGGAAAATTTACCTGCTGTACAGCGCCTAGGACGAATCTTAACACAGCAAACACGGTGTAATTTGGTGACCAAGCTATCGAGAATGAAATGACAAATAGTAAGATGTGTCCCAATACATGGATTTTTCGTCTTCCGTATCTGTCCGAAAGAGACGTAAATATGACAGCGCCAACCGCTTGACCAATGATGACCAGAGTCTGGGAAAACTCCGACAGTTCAGCACTGTCGCAAACAATGTCCCACTTGAAAAGAAATTGGACAAAAATATTGCTAAGTGTAAGTTAAAATATAGAGAAATATAATTCTATTTGACATATTTCATTGATTTTAGAAGGCACGTTCAAGAGACTAAATAAAAAATACATATTGACCTCGGAGACAATAGTTCTGTCCTTTGGCACTGAATAGGAGTATCCTGACAAACATTCTGTAGACTTTATGAGAGTTGAATTGGTCGAATCCGTGTATACATCGATAGAGCACTTGTTGTACACAAAATTATAAGAGGCATTGTCATATATGTCGGGGTCGTCACCAAATATAATATCCACAGTGGTATCGTTGCATTGGAAAGGTGGCCGATAGGCTGTCAAAAACAAAGGAAATTTGAAAAAGAGTCTATTTCGTTATGCTCAATAACAAACCTTTTAAACTGCAGTCCTTGTTTATTTAATAGAGAATAAGAAAATGGTGACCATTTTGTCAGCATGTAATGTTAATCAGGTTTAAGTATTCTGAGTATGTCGTATCTGAGTTGACATGTTCCTTTCAAAGCTGCAGAATATTTATGATAGTATTTGGACAAAGATAACGTTTTAATTGATGAATGATAATATATCTAGGAAATGTAAATCCAACCTTGGAATTGTGACGTTAGAGTCGATATCAGCAGAAATTAAAAATGTTCTCAATTTTTCCTCGTCCTACATGTACTAAGATAATTAAATTATTTGCACGCGAATAACAACGAAAATACATACTTATGAATACTGTTGAAAGTAGATGAAATGGCAGAGGAATCACGCCGATCAGTATGAAAAATAGCTGTATTCGTTGGAATTTTCCAAATGGTCCTAAAGCATTCCATATTTCATCTACATCCAGTGTTTCGTCCATCATACGACTTGCCATGAATAAACATCCATCTATCAGAACACATAGGATTAGAGTGTGTATGCATGTTCATGAAAAAGCTTGTGTAGTCAAGTTATTTCATTAAGCATATGCACTGTCTTGTCTCCTATACCGATGTCTTTTATTTCGTTATTAAAGTTTCCCTTTCCATGAAAGGTGAACGACGGGACAAATATGTCGTCTTAAATTATTTTGAAACATATTTCATAGAATTATACGGATAACGAAACATAAAAATACCGAATTTTCGGTTGACAACATCTTTGTCAAGTTTGATAGTAAGATTTTCTAAGAGACTATTGGCATACTAATGGGAACAGTCTGTGCCCATCTGATGGGTGACTTGTTTTTGTTTTCATACGTGGCTAAATTTATCGAAGTCTTTCAATTTCAAATATATTGATGATGTCTTGTCTTTAAATAACAAGATATATTCTGACTACGCCCATTAGCTATAGCCCGCTGAATTGGAAATCAATGACACAGCAATCTCTTCTACATCAGTTGCTTATCTTGATCTTTTTCTACAACGAACCAACTTGAATTGCTTTCCACCAAGCTGTATGATAAGCATGGTGCTTTCATTTTCCCTATTATAATTTTTACATTTGTGGATAGCAAAATCCCTGCATCCCCATAAATTGCTTGTTTGTTCAATTGTTGTTTACCTTGTTCTCATTTGAAAACATGACATTGCTAACTTGGATTAACCTTGATATATATGGCGGATGTCGTCGAAAGAAGCAAAAGATGCTTACTCTTCCGGATCACCTGGTCTTATTCCCTGTATTTTTTTTTCATATTTTGCCCTGGTTTCATTTAATTTGATTTTGGATTATAGTTATATTGACATTTTGGTATATTCCAGTTGTTTTTCAACAACATAACGTTGGATTTTCCATATATTGATAAAAAGGGATTTTAAAATTATATGTGACACATAAAAAGGGGGCGGCGGTCGTCATTATAACGTCATCGCGAAATATTTAATTGTTATTAGTATTAACTAGACTCTATTTGAGAACATGGCATTTCTAGATCTGGAAACAGAGGGAAGATATTAACGAGATATCCGATAAGTTTGATCTTAATTTCCCTGAATTTTTATGAACGTCTCTGTAAATACTGTAATTGTTGATTATCATCACGTCGTATTTTTTTATGTTCTATTTTGGTAAGAATGTTTTTCATCTTTTAAGGACAAACTCAACTTAACCAGTCACTATGTTTTATTACTAAGCATTAAAGCTAGGAGCATAAATAATAGTTCAACAAGTAACAACTGCCTTGATACATAGAAACATACCTGTCAAAGACAAAATTTAGTAGGGTGAAAGACATCTCAGACTGTCACCGCCTTTAGAAACTATATTTCATGACGCCAAATAAATGCGGCTTTAATTAAGTTATCATAAATTATATATTTAACGCCAAGCAGGTACAACGACTGATTTAGTTATGTAAGTCATTAAACCACTCCTCTCGTATTGAATCAAGTTGAACGTTCGGGACTCATGTGCGTATTTATGAAACTAATTTGAGAATAGAATTCCAATATTGACAGAAATCGTTTTAAATGGTGGCTGTTAATTTTCCATCAAAATATTGTTTGGGTAATATAGAAAAAATCAATACGATGGAAGAGCTTATTAACGGCAATTTTCTAACTATGGTTGAAACAAGACAAAACTTCATAATTGTGCAGGTTAATAACATATCACTTAGTGTACTAGTGTGTGTTTAGTGTATACTTGGAGGCCATACTTTGTCACTTTGTCAGATTTAGCGTTTGGACATTGAAGTACTGAAATTATTTTTCATTGATCGTCTTTATCTGTGCGTGATTTGTTAAGTCTAGTGCTTGAACAATGTTTTCTGTAACAGGTAAAAACTTTCTTGTGCCGCGTTTTTCATACGTTTATTCATTCATAATAGCGTCATATTGATATGATCTGTGGCTTCATCTTGTAGCGTATCAACGCAATTTTTTTTTTTTTTATTTCGTTTCATGTCATTCCTTAAAATATATAATGTATATTAGCTTGATTAGTAAGGGTATTGTGTACGTGTGCGGGCCGGAACGACGTGAGTAGAAATGCATTTGAATGGAGTTGTTCTTACATGTTTTGTTATTTGGATGAATAAACATTAAAACAATAAAAGAAGAAAGGAAAGTAGGATGAATTAATTTGTTTATTTACTGCCATTTCAAACATCAGATTAAACTACGCTGTTTGTGTGCTATCGTAGCCCTACTTCACTCAACCGTAATCAACGTCAGGAAACTGGAATTGACGACCTTATTAATATACTTCGTTTAAGTCGAGATTCAGATAAGTCGAAATATTTTCCGTAGTCCTTTGAATTTAGAGATAACAAGTTTCGACGGTACTTACAACTTTTGTAACACTTGCTCTATCAGGTGAGTTTGTGGATTACTCTTAGAAAATATATTTTCCACAAGAACTAATAGCTTAACAGTAACCCAAACATGTTTTTAAATATGCAGCATTACTATACATAAGTTTATTTATACATTCACATGTACGAAAGTAGATATATTCAGCAAGATAATATATCTTAAATGATTTACCTAAAACACGTTGTGTGATATGAATATATCTAGAAACATCCAACAGTTTTATGAGAAATGTCAATAGCCCTTGTATGATTTTGTGTAATTTTTTTTTTAAAAAATATGTAAGAAAATTAAAAAAAAAAACGGCTATAAAGAAGAAATAGAATTTACACTAGGATTTTTGTTTGAGTTAAACCCCTTCCAATATAGTTTTCTGAAAGCTTCGCATTTTTTAAAGTCAATATATAAAAATCTACATGCCCATTTCGAAAGGCATGCTATGTACCACAGACCAGTTCCTATTGTTTATTAAAATGAAGCTTAAAGTTCTTAGCAAATTTGACCACTGGAATATTCAGTCTGTAAAGCAAAACTGTCATTGTAAGGCAACGAGCAGTGTTGTCTATTAGGTCTGTGTTCAATGCACAGAGAATAAATTATCATATTTAACTGTGAATTATAATATACCATCTCGAAGCAGTCAATATTCATTGACACGTCCATGTATTTGATATAAGTTAAGAATTAAGCGTAGCTACCTACCATGGTATACTTAACACAGTGAGGATACTGCTAAAATACACCAACAAATGTATAAGATATTAAACATTTTTTTCTTCCTTCCATATCTGAAAAGAAAAATAAAGATATATACGTTATATCAACATTATTTAAACTTTATAGAGTCTATATTCTGTAGAAAAGACTTTTTAAAAATGGAAATACCAACGTGTCAACACCATCATAATCTAAAATTCAATAAAACGAGGAAAAATGTTAACAAAAGAATTATTTATAAGGAGACTCCTGAAAAAAAAGTACGAGGAGAATAATACCAGGTGTTCCGGAAGAGTAAGCGTCTTCTGTTCTGTTCTTTAATTGTGGACTTTTGCAAGTATAAATTTTGTTGCAAATTTAGTGTTTTGTTGTCTTTTTTTTTGAAGAATAATAGAAATAATTTAGAATTCGAACTTAAATACCTAAACAAAACAGTCAAATCGCCTCTGAATAAGGAGTAAAGAATGTAATCATGTAAACGATTGTACCTACTCCGGCACATCGTGATCGTTAGGCTACTGTAGTGTAGGAAATGCCTTACATAAACGAAACATTAGAATCTAATGGTCATTGGCATACGCCAGCTCGGATATACATAACAGATACGATTTTTTATCACTCAACTCAAATAAGTTGTACAAATAACTTGTTCAAATGAATAATGTCAACGTCTATATTGATAATCCCGTAATGTCATCAAAGGGAGATGACCTAAACTGATTATTTATAAAATCTTTATATTTTTCGATTATATTGCCAGAACATTTGTTATTACTATTTTTTCTTGAGCCTTCAAAAATGTATTGATATTGTCTTTTAGGATACTTTTGAACATAAGGAATGTGGATTGTACTGTCACATTTTTATTCTGATATTTTGCAATATTTCTTATTTTCCGTATTATCCATTATGCTATCAGAATAATGGTATTGACTAGTATGTTATAATCTTGTGCATACTCTCCTAATAGTATATTTACTTCGGTTATGATTCCTGGTGTTTCAGGTAATAGTTCATTGTGTGCTAAAGTTATGAACTGTTCTGTAAAGTTACAATGATAATGGGTTTCAATAATTTGATTTATGCACAAGTGGCAGGTGCCATCATATCTATTCATGAGACTTTTGTATTTTGTATATATGATTTTATTCCTGTGAAACTCTTTTATTTTATTTTCTGCAACAAGGAGAGTAAATATCTACCAACTACACTCCAGCTATCAGATTCAGAATTTAGTATTTTATGAATTGTTTTTATTTGTTTACATTGTAGAAATATATCTTCATCTACCGTTTCCATACCACCAATCTTTTTATAATGAAACACAGGTTTCTGTCTAGTTGATGAACTTTTTTTTAGTTCCATATATAGTTCCAAATTAAGTTATTAATTTCCTTCGAGTATTTGTCAGGAATTCATCTGGCTTTTTTATAAACTATAGTGGATATAATAAGTGATTTAATAATCAACGCTTTGCCTTTGAATGTAAGATTTCCCGTTTTCCACACTTGTAAACAGTTCTCTATCTTGATAATTTTCTCTCTCCAAATTTTGTCATTATCTATGGAATAGCCATGGTGTATACCTAAAGTTTTAACATTTGTTTTTGTCCATTTTATTACATTAAAAGTTGAGTAAGAAACTCTGGCTTGTGTTTGTGTGTGTTCTTTATGTGTGTTTTTATTCTAAGTTAATTGTGGATGGTATACAGTGGGAAAAAAACATATAGACCGGTAAGTCACTTATTTTATCAGTATTACTATTATTTTCAGCGTATCATATATTTTTCTATTTATTAATATTATTATGTAGTACTAGGTTTATCGTTACTTCAGTTGCATGGATT